TGGCCAATTTGCATCGAGTTTTCTACTGATTTATTATTGAGGGCCTTCGCGTTGATCTATTTTTCTGGTTTTTAACGAATTCGATGGTTTTAATGATCAAGATATTAAGAGCTTGGAAGTTTTCAACTGACTAATGTCCAATTGTTGTCAAAAACCCTAGCTCTAAATATTCAGCTGACACTTTCTCATCATACGATGAGAGCATCGAATCATACTGAATGAATTTATTATGCTCATGAAAAGTTAGTTAAGTATTAGGAGTTAATTTCGGTATAAACTAAAGATTTTTCAATTCAAAATTTCGAGCAAACTTTGCGTAACTATTGTAAAGTGACCCTCAGAAATTCTCAATAGTCAATAGTTTTCAGTGCATGCTTTCATTACAAAATATCAGAAAAATTCCATTCTATTGTCAAAATTTTCTCAAATACTAGCATTCATGCAATTGTGGAGATATTTAGAGAATAAGATGCCTTAAAATAGGAAGTCTAATCTAAAAAATCGTAGTCTTCTGCTCTCAAACTTATCAATTGTAAAGAAATCATGTCATTTTTGAAAAAAGTCAGCTAAAGCATAGTATAGATGTTAGTTGCTGTGAACTACTAGATAAAACGTGACAGATATAATTATATATATAGGTGTTATTATGATGAGCAAATCCAAGGGTTATACGAGTTTTACATTGTATGTCTTCGTAGAACTGAATTAATAGACTGTTTCTCGAAAGAACTAATTGTTTAATTGATATATGAAGACCATCAATTTTTTGCACGTTCAGTGAACATTTATTTCTACTAAGTGATTTCAAGTATGAATGTGATTTTTGAATACAGTGCTGAGCATATTCTAATTCTAGTAAAGATAACTTAGTAAAAGTCAATAATTATTTATTTTATTCGATGTTTATCACGATCTACAGGCTGGATATTCAATTGAACTGTGTTTTTAACAACTGTATTGAAATGGATAAAATATATGAAAACGTTACATGCAGAAATGTCAAGAGCAATAATTGTATTTTGAATTATTGATGAATTATTTAATAATTGAATTTTACTTTAAGAAGATAATGCTAAGTTTGTTGACAGATAACATACTGAGGGTACATGGAAAACAATTTTCATGCTTGAAATAAATAAAAATAACTAAATTGAACAAAATGAAAAAAACAATTAACTCGAAATGATTGATTAAATTTCAAAGAGGCTTGAAGAATTAACACAACGTGGTAGACCAAGGGGGAAGAAACTGATTTCAAATGCGGAAATCAACTTGAAATCATCGAAATCATTTGAAATCACTTGAAATCATTGGAAAATCAACTGCAATTTGACCAAGTCACTAGAGAAGAAAAAACTGATTTCAAATGATTTCGTGGATTTCTGGTGATTTCAGTTGATTTCAAGCAATTTCAAATGATTTCAGGCGATTTCAATGATTTCAGGGATGCGCCGAGGTCAAAACTTTCAGCCTCGGTCTCGCTGAGTCTTCCTATCGATCATTGCCAGCCTGGTACACCGCTAAGTAATGTCATATGATTTCGCATGATTTTGAGTTCATTTCGAGCAATTTCGAATGATTTTAAGCTGTCTTAAAACTGGTTTCAATTAATTTCAATTTCGCCCGAAATCAATCGAAATTCTTTGAAATCACCCGAAATCACCTGAAATCAAACCACTAATTTGAAATCACGAAATCAGTTACTTCCCCCTTGTGGTAGACAACAGATAATTGACAGTTAAACTAATCATCTATATAATTAGATTAATATAAGAATGCTTTTGCCTTTTTTTAAGCAAAATAAAATGTTGATCGATTACGAAAACTTATCCTTGCATTCTCATGTTTATATTCTTATTAGTAAGTAAGAAGATATTATTCAATTATATATGCCATTTGAAAGATTGACATGAATTTTCAAGGCTCATAAAAAAAGTATTAGTTTTAGGAATTATGTTCTGTCTGAATGTAAACTAATTTGGACATGCCTGAAGACTTACAAAACATCTTTTATGTGCAATTGACTATAGAAATTTTAGTAATATGATGCAGAGTTTGGATAGCGATCACCACAATCATATAAATTTATGATTCATATCAATAGGTTTCGAAATTGTTGATCTTCTGACGATTCAATAAAAGTTGCGTTATTCTAAAGAGTTAAGAAAAATGTGATTATTTTCTTGACGGTGTATTTCTAAGTCTGCAGCAAACATTTTCAAAATAGATTTTCCCATAGAAACAGCAAAGACCTTTGTTCCTAAATGACACACCTCGGTCAAAAAAATCATACGCAAGATCTCCAGTTCAGACCTCCGATATTGTATGGCCCAGTAATATCAGACGAAAATCATGGTTTCCACCAAATTTACATCAAGTCTTGGCATCGTACGAATAATATGATCTTGAAAGAATCGTATATCAAGACTTGATGTAAGTTAGGCAGAAACCACGATTTTCGTCTGATGTCATGAGATCGGACGTAAGATCTTATCATTGGATTGTTTGCCCTGGGCTAGCATCTTATAGCAAGAAACACATTAAATCTACAGTAAGATATATGTATGCTTTCGTAAGATCATACAATATGAATCTTACATTATCGGATTGTCACAACGATCTCGTAAAATCTTATACGATCTTCATATGACTTTTCCATTGGAGTTAGTTATTTATTGCTGGTTCTGTTGCGCTCTTCTTCAACGAAACTGGAATTTTCATAAAAAGAACTTAATTAATTTTTTGGATGGAGCTGAAAAAAAATGGCAGAACATTCGTTCGTATAATCAGAAATATCTTATTTTTGACTAAAAATGAATTACGGAATTTTTTTTTGTGATGAGATCAGATTTGCAAATGTACTATCTTTTAAATCTTAATAACTTTCTTATCATTTTTAAAGAATCTACTTCAAGAAGCATTAAAATTTGTATAAAAAAATAATCAGAAAATAAAAACCTATGACGAATATTGATTTCGACTAATTCTGAATGATATCTATTTAATAGAAATTTTTTATTCTCTAGAATATGGCATTGCTCTACAAGCTGGTAATTTTTGTTTTGCTTGATTGTATAATTCAGTTCCATCCAGACTAATAGATCGTTACGTGGGTAGATGAAGCACATTATGGAGACGTCGATTTTTTTTTCATTACATTAGTTTCATAGAATAAATTGATAAGATTGCATTGTCATTATCTTCTTGTTTTCTTATCAAATAATAAAAACAATATTTTTAGAAATAAATAGCATAGAAAACATAAATACGGAATAATCTGAAATGCTAATTAATATTTTCGAAGAGTTAAGATAGTTTTATAACCTTCTAGCAAATGAAGATACTTGATATGTTTTATTATAAATGCCACATATGTACAGCTTAATCCTTGAGTACAAAAGTAAAGTCTATACAATTATTTATTTGTACGGATCACTTATAAACATCTTTGTTCATGGTCAATCCATATTATAATATATGCTTACTATCTACATTGATGATTCATTACGAGTGTTTAAATCAGACGTCATCGATATTACATACAGAATACATATTTCTCACACCTATACCAATGACTTTGCTAACTTTCATTAACGAGACTCTTTGTTTTTTTTTGTCAAAAAATACACAAATTTATTTTCTACATGTCTATATAAAAGACTTCAAAATCAAAGATTATCATAAAATATAAAGGATCGAAGACCGATAGATAATATATAAAAATATTTTATTAACAATCAGTACAAATTTTGCAAATAAAGAAACTCATAATCTTTAATTTATCAATAATTCTCAATCGTCTACAGCTAATACCCTAAGGTCTTTGCTGCTTCATTGGACCATCTGAGACGTATGTGAGCATATAAGATGATTAGGATTGATAGAATTCTATCTGGCTTATCTCAAACTAAAAACATGAATTGAGACACTGTTTCCACAACTTTCATTGCCACTTACACTCATATTACACTGAAATAAAAAGAAAAAATTTGTATTCATAATGAATTTTTCGCATTCCTAAACCATTCGAAAAATAGAGACACCTTGTGGCTTTTATATAGCTGTAATATAGACATCCGTGATAATAAAAGTTTTGAAAGCAGTATCGTGAAGAATGTTTTTTATTTTCTATAAGTTATGAATAATTCTATCAATCTTACTTATCCTAGGTGCTCACATCTGTCTCTGATTGTCTATTAAAACAGTAAAAACTTCAGGGTATTAGCTGTCGACAGCTGAGAATTACTCATAAAATATATATAATCAATTTCTTTTTTTTTTGCGAAATTTGTCGTAAATTTTGAGATACCGCCCTCGCTAAAAATTTCGATATTCTTAAGGATAGTTCTCTATTTCATTCGAACAAAACTTTTATTTCTCATAATTGTATTTACTGATTCAGTTCTCATCTTATACACTACTTTGAATGAAATATAGAGGTATTCTGGAGTATCTCATAATTTTTTGCAAGAATTGTATATTAATTTACTATGTATGAATCTTCAACTCATAATACTCTATCATAACTTTTAATCTTAAAAAAATTATGCAAAGTTCATTATTTATATAGTACCTTTTGTATTAGTTTAAGTCTCGCATGTTAATTCTTCATTTAACTTGTTTGTTTGTTTTTCTATATTCATCTAAGAACTTGTTTCAAATTGTATATTGAAAATTATTTACGTGTGAAACACTTGTGATACTGTAAAAGACAGAGCAGAAAAAAGAAGAACAAGAATGTAAGAAATAGAAAAAAACGAGGAAGCACAAGTGAAACGCACATATATTACACATACACATACTAAAGCAAGATTTCTTGTAAAATAAAAGACAAACACATGCGTAATCTTATAACATAATTTAATCATATTGAGTGACTATAAAAACAGAAAAAAAAACAAAGGAAAATAAATGATAGAATTCAAGTTAAGTTTCGTCTTTTCTTTTCGATGTGTGGAATCAGTTTCATCATGTAAACATATATCTCAAAGACAATACTTTTATTTTTCCAAATCTTTTCTAACTCGATAGCCACGATAAGCTGCCTAATTAAAATAAACAAACGAACAATAGTCAAGATTTTAATAAAACTTTGTTTTTCTTTCATTACTTGTATTTTAACAGCAGCTGCATTATCATCATGATCTTCATGTGCTGGTACTTTATTACCTTCAGCTGATGGTGATAAAACTAAATCAAGAATATAAAATGATATATAAACAAATGAGACATACTATTTTTGTTACGACCATTGTCATATTCTTTATGTGTTGGTGAAGAACTTGACGATGAATGCTGTTGATCATGACTACTGGGTGAATGACCACCAACAGAACCTAATTCTTTTCGAGTTTTATAACCACGATATGATGCTTGAATACGTGTAGCTGCTTTATCAAGATTTGAATCACTCATATCGTCTTCGTCGTTAAATAATTGTTCTTGATTATGATTTATATCACGTAATACGTCTGTATGTCGTTCAAAATCGTCACTTAATTGTGTTGGTTCACGTTCAAGATGTGGTCGATCAATATCGTCGTTTTTACCTAAAATAATTAATTTTGAAAACATAATAAATCATATAATACAGTCATATATTTGTTGATCATCAATAACATTTACTAGTTCTGTTTGTACTTATTTTTATGCCTCTAATCTTTAGATGTTTGTCAAAGCATTGTTTTGCTGTATTTGTATTTTTTTCTGGTGATTGTGGTTGATTAATTTTTTTTTCGCTCTATGCTATAGATAGTGACCTTTCTACTTCGACTTGTAGGCACATAATTTGATTTGTCACGACGTCACTTCTAACCTCTTGAAGCTTTTCTATCTAGGAGTAATCGGTAGAATTCATCTGATCGATTACCGGCTATCGAGATCCTATGTACTAATACCGTCAAATGCCAACGATATCCTGTGCATTATAGGCAAATTTTCTTCAACAACAAAGCGAATGTCAGATATAGGATGGTGTTTTAACACACTATGTCTAACGTCGATGATCAATGCTGAAAACTGTTTCTTTTACAGATATTTATATAGACGAAGAACTGTATGGTGTCGTTTTTTGCTCTTTCTTTCATTTTTTTTCTGGTGCAACTAATGATGTCTCAATATTACTGGAAAGAATGAAAGCATTTCTGCATCATGTGTAATTGCCTTGATGACAAAAGATTAGCGTAATACGAAACGGGTGCACACTCTTTAAATAATCAAGCAGAAAAAGTTTGGTACAATATTGATTATCAGCTAGAAATAAAACAAAAAATTGCTAAAATAATATCCATCCAGAAGTGATAATAAACACAAAAATATCTCTAAATTATGTTTTTCATCTAGATAATCCAAATTAGATTTTTTTGTTTACTATGAGAATAAAAACATTCAAATTAAAGTTTATTTTCATCGTAGTTTAATTATGTATTAATTCGTATAAAATTTACATGATAGATGACCGCTATGCAGAAACTTACCTATCAAAATCTTGTCGTTGAAATATGAACAGATGTATACACTCGTATACTCGTATGAGTTTCTCAAGAGGCAATTCTTTTTTTTTCTTTTTTGTCTATCTATCTGTCTGTCTGTCTGCCGATAGAATGCATAGGATATAAACAACATTCGTTGTAGTTGTATCCTGCTGATATTCTTCTCTTTTTCTTTTCTTCTATCGATAAGCTATGCTGTCGTGTTGCTAGAATATGTTTCCCTATCCGTATATCATTCTTCGATGACGCATTTCTTTTTCAACAATAACAACAAGAAAAAAGCTAACCCATAGACTTCTAGTACTGAACTGTTTCTTTATGTATACTGATACGGTGTTTTATCATGACAGTACAAAAACTAATAGAAAGGACCAAAAACAAATATCATTTTGCTTAATGAAAAAGAATAATATAAAGCAAATGATATATACATAAATATATATCTATATACTTACCCATTTCAATCTCGTCATGTAATCTGAGGTTTTCACCAAGATCACGATGATCACTAGAATGCGTTGGTGATAGTACGGATGTTTTGTCATGATCATTGTCAAATTCCTAGAAATAAAAATATGATTCATTTATTAAATAAATGACTAATCAAGGTATGAAAATCCAAAAGAAAAAGAAAATAAATCATCCATTTATTTTCATTTGATTTAACAATAATCATAAAGGAAAATGCCATTATCAAAATAGTATTAATCTAGTAATGATGATCTTTATATATATCAATAAATATTCATTATTCTATTTTGTTTTTTAAAGACTTCTACAATCATGAACACATTTTCAGTAGAAAAATACCTGTTGTTCTTGTTGAAAATGTTGACTTTGTTCATCTGTTTCATCAAATGTGTCTCGTAGATGTTTTCGAACTTGAAAACCACGAAATTGTGCCTAAAAGATTAAATTTATAATTCAAATAAATTTAACACAAAACAAACTTGAATAGATATTGCAGCACGTTCTAGTTTGAATTTTTCTTCTTCTGTAAGTTCTTCATCATCAATACTCTATAAAGATAATAAGGTTTTTCTTTTAATCTATTTCAAAAATGAATAAATTTACTTCTTTATATTGATTTTCTTGTTTTAAACGTGGACTTTCTAAAGGTGATGATTTCTAAATAATAATTAATAAAAATTTTATTTGTTAGTTTGCTTTATATAAGAAATACTTGATATTCATTGTTCTCTGTTGTTAATTCTTCGTGATCAAAAGATGTTTCATGTTGATCAGAATCCATTGATTGTTGATGCTGAAAAATTAACAATTTATTATAACACACAACAAAAAAAACACCAGATTTTGTACGAACTTCTCGTTTTATTTTTTCTAAATCTCGTCTTGCTTTATGTCCACGAAATTGGGCTTGAATTTTTGTTGCCGCACTGTTTACATTCGGATCATCAATCGGAAAATCATCCTAAAGAATATCATAGGTTGAAGAATATCATCATTATCCCAAAAGTCACTTTACTTGGAACAAAAAATTTTATATCATGATAATACTTTTACTCAAGAACTTAATCTTCTTTATTATTAATAAAGAAATATTTATAGTTCATATTCATAAGATATTATTAAGTGTTATCATAATCCGTCGTTAGAGACAGTAATCGTAAACAGATAATGAAAAATGAAATCACAGTTTTTTACTGATATTTTATCGTTCACAGCTGAAACTTTCTCAATGTAGAGAATAAAAAGATATGAACATGTACATAAATATAAGTTTCAAAGATGTACGAGTAATGCATAAGAAAATTATTGTGAAAAAAACCAGCATTAGATGTGCCTTTTAGTTTTCGTCAGAAGAAGACATAATTTCTTTTCCAGAACTCATCAACGTTATGGAATTCGTTATTACAGTCAATAATCACATTTCAACGAAGAATTTTCAATAGTTGTCTTATGAATATGAACTATGTTTATTTGTTTATTAACGATAAAAGAATCAACTTATTTTATTATTGAATTACGATGATAAAATTCAATTTTTTTTTTGTTCGGTAAAGTGACTTTTGGATCAGTCTATGTTAATAATCAAATTAAAAAGAAAAACAAACTTGAAAACTTTGATTATTATAATAACGATCTTCAAGAGCCGTTTGTTTGTCAGATGAATACGTTTGTCCTCCTTGGTCTAAACGATGCATCATATACATTTAAAAGATAATATTTATTTTTATGGAAGAATGCATTGTTTTCAAGTTTTATCTAGTCGAATATATATTAAGAGCTTATTGATTTGATATAAAAGTTTTTTTTTTCTTTTTCAATAAAATTAATCGACCAAACAGCGGAATTAATCAAGAGTGTTTCCTTTCACGCAAATTTTATTTTCAATAGTATCAAAAAAAATTTTTTTCTATGAGCTTTTATTTATAAACAATACTATCACATCTTTTATGTTTAACGCGACAATGAACTTTTACTTTTCTAAAATATCTAATAAGTCTAACATTAGTATCTTATTTTATTTTCGAAACATACAATCAAACATCATATAAGAGAATAGTCTATATAAATAATTACTTGTTCTAATTTGCGTGTGATGGGTATCATTAAAAAAGAATTGTATTGATAAAGTATACTCATGTAAAATCGTTTTTTTTTTAAATACTGCTAAATTTCTTATTAATATTTTTTTTTCTTTTGATCGATTATTAATATCGACATGGAAATTCTATCTCGTATTGTTTTTTTGTTTTAAAGTGTCATAGCACTTTTCCTAATCTGTATGAATGTCACATATACACATACATAAGCACTGATAAACAAGACGAACAACAGAAAAGCGTTCAAATTGATTAATAACTATTGATAGAAATAAGCATATAAAGTAATAGAAAGATAGCATTATGTTCTATTTAATTTTTATTTTGTATGTATAACATCATTAAAACTATTCAATACTTGTTCTGCTTTACGCCGTATATCATCAGGTAAATCAGCCGGAATGTGATGATTATTATTTGATATATGTATAACATTTTCGGATATATTTCTTGGTGTATTTGAATTCTCATTTGATGGTATTAATGATGATGAAGCATCAACAAAAACTTGCCGTACTGTTTTTGTTACTGTTACATTAACAATTTCATGTTCACTTGTTTCTGCATTTAATGAATTGAGATCAAGTGATGTTCCCAGTTTATCATAAAGTGCTTTTAAAAATGAATTATCCGATGATTGTGATGCTACATAAACAGTTATAATATTCATTAGGCGATTTTTTATTTTATTATTATTATCACTATCTGGATGTTGATGTTGTTCAATATCAGTAAAACATTTCTCAAGATTTTCATCAATTACTGTGTTATCTATTGAATTTCCAATAATACGTTTGTGTACATAATCAACAAGTTTTTGTTTTTCTTCATGTTTTGGAAGAATTTTTTCTCGAAGAAATGTATAAACTTCTTGTTTAAGTTTATCAATTGTTTCAGCATTTGAATATGATACGTTGGTTTCAAAATTTGTTTTAACTGTTGTTCGTTCATCATTTTCTTTGTCATGATTAATTGGTATTGATTGTTCTGTTGCTAATGGTGGAGTAGCTGTCGTCGGTTTTTCTTCTGAATCAATAAATGGAACATTGGCGAATTTATCAACATTAGTTGATGATTTTCGTTGTTGTTGTTGTTGTTGTACTGGTTCAACAGTTATATCTTTATTATTATTATTATTACCGGTATTGATCACATCATTTTTCAGGTATTTTTCCTTGTTTTTCTTGGTTTTTGATGCACATGCACCCATTTTCTTGTCGTTGTCGTCTTACTCTTTTTTTTTTCTTCTTGCTAGATCGTCTTAATCGATGTTAGTAAATGTATGGAAGCAGCAGTAGATGCAAAGCAGCCGTAGCAATAATAAAAGAGTGTTTTGTCATTAAGGCTGTTCTTACTCTTCTTCTCTTTTTTCTTTCTTTCTCGCGGTCTCTCTTTCCCTTATATTCTCTATATTTAGTAGAAAAAAAAAAAGAATGAGCAAACAAGAGAAATTATTTCTCGTGTATCAGATTGATGAACTTTTCCTTAGCATGCAAGCTGTTGCCTGCCATGCATTCATAAGTCGACGACTGTTTGGTCGAGTCGAGAAAGAAAAAGAAAAGTAGTAATAAAAATTTCTTTTTTTTTCATTTCAAAATAAATTACATATATATGCCTGAGGCTGAGTGGTACCAATTTCTTTTCGCTCTTCTCATTCTGTCACTTTTTTGCTCGTATCGTCCATGACTTTGATCCGCTATATATTAAGATTCTCATGAGGCATTAGTCATTCTTAGTTTTTTATGCCGAGCTAATCTTCATATATAAGCATCGAGATGCACATGAATAGAAAACTAAAGTAGTGAAATGAGACTGTGTCAGTTTTAGGTTATGCATATGCATATTATCTGTATTCGGACAATTGTATGAACTGCAATGATTGCTCTGATTTTTTTTTTGCATTTCTTTCATCCTATGAATAATTGATTGGGAGAAAAGGAAGACGAATAGCATCCGATAGACAAATGCAAACAAACAACAAAATAGTTCCACATTGTATGTGTCTCTTCTCTTCTAATATGTGTCGTCGAAAATGATTTGATTAGAGATGCTATGACCATTATTACTAATAGACAATCATACATAAAATATACTACTCGAATTCACTGTGTATGCACGAACAATGATAACACATTGACAGATGGCGAACTGTCATCACACGAGAAATTCGATACACACTAGACATATAAAGTCACTGAGACAAAGAAAAAAAGAGAGAATGATAGAAGGATCAAAATCAATCGATGATGTTCATTGTGTTGATGCTTATATCAAAAGTATACATGCATACATCCGTTGATGATTATCAACAAATCATTAACCCAATTCATTTGTTTTTCTACATGATAAGAGCAGTTATTCAAGCGAATAATATTGTACGTAAGATTTTAATAAAAGATTTTTCTGTTGAATAAATTCATTCAATATAAAAAAATATTGTTATCTATGTTATTTTCATTCAACATTCTCTCAGCAAATAATTTATAGTCATGTAAGAAAACTTTCACCGTAAAACATTCTCACGCAATTAAGTCATGCGAAAGAATCTAATACTTTTCAAGTTCAATGATTTGCTTTCTATACAACAATTAAAGAAAAACATTATGAAAATTCATTTTACCAGAAAGAAAAGAACAATATTTTACGTATATATATATAATGCATAAGTAATAGAAAATTATTGCTATTAAATTTCTAATAATGTTAAACATAATTTCAAGATTTCAACAGCTGAAATCTATTCTTACCTCTTCGTTGAAGTAGTTTTTCAAAATATTCAGCAGCAAATTGATGAATATTTCTTGGTTGACTTCGAAGAATTTCAGTTGATAAACCAACTAAAAGACTTTGAAAACCTTTTGGTATACGTAATTTCGCATTTGATAATGGCGTAACCATTTTTTAAGAAAAACAATTTATAAATTTGTTTATATTGAATAAAATACAAGATTATAAAAATAAAAGCTTGATCTAAAACTAATTATTAAGCGGTATTTGTCATAAGTAAAACCACTTGAGACAACTAACAACACAAGAAAAAGAAAAAGAAGAAAGAAGAAAATCTACATATATAGAACAAAAAAAAACAGAAATCATGGCGTACTCTAATAAACCGGAGGAGGTGAACAGCGATACAAATGGCTCAATAGGAAACTCCAATAGTGAAAAGGAACGAACAGAGGGCGCAATCATAATAGTATAATTTGTATTAGTTGCGTAATAAGATACTTTAAAAATAAAATCATTTTGCTACATAGACGATACAAATTTCTTTTACATTAAAATAAATATTTTTTTTTGACTTTATTCATTTATTTTTGATATTTAATATATTTGCCTTAATATAATATGTGAGTAACCAACCATACATTGTCAAGAAGAAGAAATTTGAAACAAATATAATAACATCATAAAGAGCCAACACAAGAAAGAAATCTTTTAATATAACGAGCGCACAAGAAAAACCGATTAAGTCTGACAATAATCATTCTTTTATGTCATGTGAGTGATTGACAAGAAATTAAAAATATATTTTATATAATACAAACAAATTCAAGAGATCTTTCTTCCCGTTTGGATCATTCATGTCTTTTAAGCTTTTCTTATTATAGCAAATGACAATTGGAAAGTTGATTATCCTAAAGCACAAAAAATAGCATCACCTAACTATACATCTGGTCGATTAGCACCGATTAGTGTAATATATGAATGTAAATAAAAATAAAAATTCAATTAAAAAAAATATTTCTATTTCAAGGGTATTGTTCTACATAGAACAGCAGGAGGTGGTACAATTGAATGGTTTTTAAACCCAGCAAGTAAAGTTTCAGCTCATTATGTTGTTGGACAAGATGGTAAAGTTACACAAATGGCAAGTGAAGCTAATACAGCTTGGCATGCTGGTGTTGTTTCAAGTACTTCTATACTTGCTAATAATGGCAATCCAAATAGTTATTGTATTGGAATCGAATTTTCACGTAATAAAACTAATGATAATATAATGCCTGAAATACAAATATTATCTGGTTTGGATTTAGTGAATAATATTCGTGCTCGTTATCCAAATATTAAAACTTATTTTCATGATGAAATATCAATTGGACGTATTTGTCCTGGACCTAATTTTCCTAAGGTATTATTTCGACCATAAACAATTGTTTTATGTAATAATTTGAAAGAAAATGATCAATTTTTAATAGATACTTTCTATGCAAGAAAAGAAATGTGCCATTTTTTTCATTACATTAAATGTTTGTCATCAAATAACTATTTCTCTTTTCATTTATTACTTCTGTCCAACAAATGAATTTACATATTTGAAATTATCAAAAGAACTAGAAGCATAATTTATAGTTGGGAGGAGGCGTGTCTCCTCTCTTTTTGTAAAATTGCTTCGAACAATGCTCCTCCTCCTCCTACATTTGAAAATTGTTCACGCAGCGCTTCATTTTCTAGGATTCAATCACTCTGTGTCGTCGCAGTTACCACCCCTTTGACCAGAACGATTGACAGATATAACATGATTTATGTAGTTCATTGTCTTTTCGATAAATATAGAACTTATATCATAAATAATCACATGCAACTCAAAATAATAACATCAATAGTTCGAATACTTTATTTCTATATCATTATTACTCATAAAAACAGAATTATTAGGCTCTTGTATAGCTCATTTTTAATTTAATAAAGCCATACATGATGAATATAAGAGTATGTCTGAAATAGCTATGGTAGTAACACGTGTTAAGGACATGTCTTTTTTTTATTTAAATTGATTAATAGAAGAAGAACATTGGAATTATTCGATCAGGCAAAGATCTAATAATAGAAGTTCGACATAAAATCTAATTGAACGTTTTCATAAAAGTCCTCTTGTGACTCATTTATAGAAACTTGTCACATACTTTTTATGTTACATTGAATATATTCTATTGTTAGCTATAAAAAAGTTGATTAATAAAAGCCAATAGAAATCTGTTATAACAAAATATTGACTAATGAATAATAGAGTTTCAAGAAGAAATACATCTTGTTATATTTTTTTCTCTTATCTATTTTGATCAATCAATAAAAACTTCCATGCATATAGAAAATACGTCGCATAACAAATATAAAATTTGATTTCTTGAAGGAAAAATTTAATCTTATTTCATTATGCCAATCATTCGTTTTGTTCATGGTAAACAATTTTTTTATTCTCTCTTTTTTTCACAGAGCAAAAACTTAGAAGAATGACAAACAACAACAAATGATCGTCTTGAATAATGTCTTTAAAAAAAATCGGCTAGATCTGACTTAACTATGATCGGAGTCATCTTTAACGATCACCACGACCACGTCCACCACCCATACCACCACGATCACTACCTGGTGGTCCACCACCACGACCACCTGCTTGTCCAACAAAGGAATTCATTGGTGGTCGTCCACGAGCTCCTCGTCCACGAGCTATTTGAGCACGTAATATAGCTGATTTACCACGACCAGCACCACCTTTAACACCACGCATATTTTTAAACATTGGTGCATTCTAAAAAATAAAATAAAATAAATCTATTAAATAAATTTAAATGGCAACACGTTTGTTTTTTTACCTTTAACATATCAGGAAAAATCATGAATCGAATTTTTGATCCACGTACATAAATATATTCTAATTGTGCTTGTCGTCCATCACGATAAGTAACGGTTACATTTGATAATTGACAATTCATATTATCTTCTGCTTCAATTAATTTACCACGATAAACTTCTGATGTTACAGATTCTATTGTAACAACATGACCCTCAGCTTCATGTAAAATTTTAATTGGTACTCCAATAGACATTTTTGATTATTATCAAACACTTTACAATAAGTATCGATCTAAAATAAATAAATAGAATAATTTTTTTTATTAATTTCTAGTTCCTTTTGCAATACTTTTTTTTTGTTGCTTTCTTAATTGACAAAGAACCAACACGATAAAATGCATCGCACAATTGATTGCTCGATTTAAAAATTATAAAAATAGTGCCGTATTAAAGATGTCGTTAGTGTATGGCTATTGAATGTAGTTTTATGTTTAAATTAGTTCAGATAGTATTGTTTCAATAAAATAAAATGTTTTTAAGCATTTTACTAATAAACTGTTGTTCATTCAAGATATTTTTGTATTGATGATCATCATATATATTTTTCTTGTGGAATGAATACTCAATCAGATTTTTATTTATAACAGTATTTTTCATGTTGTTTTTCCTTCAATTCTATCAAGTATTGGTAAGGTGTTGGAAATGCAAAGGTCAAGCAAAATTTTTCAAGTATACATATATGATTAGATAGATTGTGACAAACTGATCAACAATATGTATGTTATCATTTTTTTAAAATGAGTTGTTATAATCATTTTTGTTTCTTGCAAATTTCAAACCTTCTTGTTTTGGATACAGTGTGAAAAACTGTATCAAGAAAAGTCATTTATAAATGACTTTTCTAGAAAAAGTTTTTCACAATGTATCCAAAATAAATAATTTTGAAATTTTCAAGAAACAAAAATAATTAATAATTTGTCGATGAATCAAAAATTGAGCTTGGTTTGAGAAAAACTTGATTATCGCAGAATAATAAAATTTTTCTCCTAAAAAAAATCATTCCAGAAAAATGAAATCATATATTTTGTTGATTAATTCATTACGCTCTATCTCACCACCTGTATACATGTTTTTAAAAGTTGTGTTTTAGTGTTGCATTTTCAGTATGTTACAATCAATCAAATTTGTTTTTTTTTGACACAAACTGAATGTATGTTAAATAAATTTCCAAAGTAATTTTTTCTTTTGTATAGACAATTCTTGAAATAATACGCACATGCATCATTCTATGAAAAAGTTAACAGAGAATATTTAAACTATTAAATTCAATGATACTTCCTTGTTTAAAGTTTTATTTGATTAATAAATAAGGGCATCATGAAGATTGAATTCGTAAAGAATCATCATTTTCTTTTGAGTTCACTACATGATTTATTTTGTTCAAAAAAACAAGAATGATTCAACTTCAGATATGTGCAAAGTCATTTTATCCGAGAGGGAAATAGTAGAGATTTCAGTCTTGAAGATTCCTGAAATTCTACGAAGCCTTTGTATTCTCATTAAATCTTGAAATCTACTGTTTCATCCTCAACCTTACTCTACAGGGTAAGATAAGGGTTGCATTACAATATTTTTCTCATTCAAGCTACAGGATACGAAAAAAGCTTACCTTGCAGGCCCCTACTCTACTTATATTAAATAACAAGACGGTAAAAGCTTTTATTAGTCAAAACATGTGTTACTATTGAAATATGATAAGACATGAAAATTATAATATAAAAAGAATCCAACTTCTCATAGTTTTTGCTTTGTTAACGACGAGTAATCTGATTATTCTTCTTAACGATCTATTTACACCGTATGATTATATTTATGAAAAAAATATGACGTTAAATAGAGAATGTCAATTAGGATTGTTTTTTTTTTTGTAAGAAAATCAGCAGCTAGATGTTAATCGATTGCTTTGTTTTTAAGAAAATAAGCTATTTGATTGATGATAAATCATACCGCACTTCCTATCATTCTTAATAATTATACATATTAAATTGATCGATAAAAACATTCAAAATATGTATTCTACAAGAATTTAAAACTCGAATATGTATATCCTTCTGACTAATTCCAAGGACACAACTGAATTTTTTGAATAATTCTTTGGGTTTGTTGTTTGATCTGGCATTTATACTATAAATACATCTTCAATTACTTAGCTCTAAATAAAAATTTCAGCTCGATAGAATACGAATTCGTTAACAAAGATACAAATGTATTCGATGTAGTCCATGTAAGAATACAACAAAAATTTACTGGTTACTTGCTGAGTTTTGTATTACTGCTTTGAATAGTACCAATCTTCGATCAATGAATCAGTTTCTGCAACTTTTTTCCAAACATGTTGTCAACGACTCTCTTACTAAAATCCTTCAACAGTACAAACAAAATCGAGAAATTTCTAATTTATCGATCAACAGTTAATTTCATTGAAAAATAAAAGAAAACAGCAAATTTTCGTTTCATGATTTTATAAGTGCATCAGACATGTTTTTACCTTTCTCAGCGCATTTTCATCGTGCATGATTGCAACTGTTATAGTGAATCAAGTAACCGAAAAACTAAGATATATCGTTTATGTTGACAGCGAAGTATTTATATATAATCGTAAATTTCTCGATAATTTGACATAACAAGTAAATATTTATGATCATGACATAAGGATTGATGATTTTTCGAGGTAGTTTTTACAAAATCTAATTTTTATTTCATCAATAGAAGGAAGTATATATTAGAAATTTTTTTTTTCAAGGACAAATCAATTCTAATATACATTAAAAACACATTACATCTAAGTAACTTTATTACAATAAATGTCTGAAAAATGTCTATCACAATTCATCGGTGTTTTCTTGCAAAGGACCTTTTAATGTTGGTGAGCGTTGTCGAGTAGCCGCTGTCTCGTCATTGATGGAAAGTTTTTTTTTAATTAATGCAGCTGTTTTACTAAATGTTGCCGATATTCTTAGAGAAGGTATACGAATCCTAAGTGAATGTATTTCATCGATAAATATGAATAAACATAAGATCGACAATAACACTAAGCGGCTTTGAATAAAATGCATTATTGACACTAGTTCAATTCAATTTTGTTTGTGAATGAAAATCGTATTTGTTTTTTTTCCTGACTATTTATATAAGTATTATTAAGCAATCTTCCCACGTATAAAGAAAAAAAAGTGACAGTTTATATGCTTGCTCGTGATACTGCGCTTTGTATATACGATTTGTTTACCTGTTAATAAAGTTTTTTTTCGCCCACGACCGCTTAATTACTTTCTTTTGTATTAATGTATCGTAAACATGTTTGTTCTTTGTCTCAAATATTAATACAGGGTGCTCTCTTTATCAAAGTCTGTTGACTATTTTAACTCACATGGAAAAAAAACGAACATTAAACAGAGATACCTTCTATTTGTCGACACAAAAAAAGACAATAAGTGCATCAGAGTAATACAATACATTAACTAAGGGAGGATGGATATATTTATCTCAGGAGTAGGCAGATTAAAAAAAAATCAGAACAAGAACCTAGATATATGCATCTATAAATAAATAAAATCAAAAAAAAAAGAGTTGTGAACACCGAGATATTTTGATTAAGTTAATAACCATAATGATAATCTCTAGAAACGGTTCCTGTCGTTGTTTGTGTATCAAACTATACATAGCAAGGAAATCATTTTATGATGATACTTAAAATAAACAAGATGTTTTTTGTTCTTACTGGTGGTATTGGAGTTGAATGTAATTGATCTTGTTTAATACCAGCTGTTAAACCTTGGATGCATAAAAAAAAAAGAAAAAAAAATAATTATAATAAAGTTGAAATAAAAAATTTACCTGAAGAGAATTTAGTTTGCCATTTTGGATTTGCTGGTGCACCATATGGAGCAAGAAGAGGTGAATTACCCATAAATTGATGAGGATCATCAACATTTATATTTTGTCCATAACCACTAACAATTTGTTGATGATGACGTTTATTAATATACATAAATAAACACATAAATATTAAACATATAATACCATATGCACGAAATGTTATATCAGTACCAAAATATGAAGCAAAAAATCCACCAAATAGAGATCCACATCCTCGTCCGAAACCAAAATGAAAACCTTGTAAAACACCTTGACATGATAAACGTAAATTTTCTGGTACTGCTTGAGATAAATATGAACAAGCTGTTGCCCAAACAGCAGCATGAGTTAATCCTATAAATTTATTTATTTTTTTCTATACAAGAACAAAAAAGCAACAAAAATGATTTTTCTCGTACCTTGAATAAATTCAAATGGTAGCACCCACCATGGATTTGTTATAATTGATATATAAACAAAACGAATAAAATTGCCTAATAAACCCAAATAAAGAATTTTTATATGGCCAAAACGATAAATAAGTTCATGTAAGAAAAAATAAGCAAATAATTCACTTGTATGATTTATAACTGAAGCCACACCTACGAATTTAAACAAGAAAAATAATTATAGAGAGAAAACTCCATCGTATCAATCATTCACCCAAAAAACTAAAATCTATAGAAAAAGTGCAATTACTATACATAGAAAAGTTTAAATTAAAACCTTCTAATTACAGCACGCAAACTTAACAACACATGTATGAATTGCTTTATGATTGTTATGCTTGTCTATATGTATTATTTCAGTATACGTTGCGTGATAAATAATTTTTCGTATTTCTACTATTTTGTGATAGAAAAAAAAATACTAATAAGCTCAGTTCGCAGAATAACGAGAATCTATCTTGCAAAGCGAACTGACTACAAAAAGATGAATAACAATCACACATAGATCTTATATCATTCATGACTAAATTTAATTACCAAAAAGTGTTGGTGATCCACCAAGATCTTGTAAATGCCAAAATAGAAATGTAAATACAAGACCAACACCACAGCCCATCCACCTTAAACAGATAAACATAACAAACTTTAATGAATTGTTTTCCTTTATTATCTATTTTCTCACCATGCAATAAAAAGGAATGTTCCATTTTTTAATCCCATAAATACTTGTATAATTTGCATTAATTTCATTGTATTTGATAACTTATATTGTTGTTCTTTTACATTAATTTGTACTTGTTCTTCGTCATTAATAATACTATGTATATTATGTTCATCTGTACTTAATTTTGTTGTTGGATATACAGTTCGTTTTAAATCTTGATTTAATACACTTAATGGTACTTGTTCATTTGTATGGTATGAATATTGAAAACGTGTTGCTGTTATGAATGCAAATATCATACAAATAGTAAAAGCAGCAAAACAAACAGTGTAATTCTTTTCTAATGGTCCACTAGTTCCACAGGCATAAAACGTAAGAGATTTAGATTGATCTAGGTTCAAAGAATGTTTAGTAATAAAAAAAAGAAGTTCTTTGTCTGTTTTTTTTTTTTTATTTTTAAATATTTTTTTTTACCAAGTATCATAGCAACAATAAATATTGCCAAACCCCAACCTAAACTTCCAAACATTCGTTGTCGACCATAAAGTTCTGTATCTTGACTTAAGTATGCCAAAGTGTATGCATCCTAAATAATACAACATTTTTTTTTTTGAAAAAATTTAATTAAAAGAAGAAAAAAAATAAATAAAACAAGCTTTACGGCTAATGTGATGGCTGGTGCACTAAAGAATTCTCCGATTATAATAAGTAACAAGAAAACCATAAAAACATTGCGTACATCTTTTTGTTCATATAAAACAGGTGATCCAAGTGGTTTAACAAGAGAAAGATTTGTAACTGTTATTGATATTGGATTACCAATTGTTTTTTTAGGTGTATTTATATGTAAGAAATTATTTGTATTAGATTGTTTTTTATTTGATACAGTTGTTGTTTGACGATTTTCATCTATTGAATCATCTTCTTCAGCATTTTCAATATCATCATCTTCATCTTCATAATCATCATTATTATTAGTAGTAGTAGTTATTTTAGTTAATTGATTCGTTTTAATTGTTGTTGTTTTTAATTGTTTTGATGTCGAAATAATTGTACTAACAGTTCGATTCATAGTTGAATTTAAAAGATTTTTTTTTAATGTATTTGTTTTATTTAAAGTTACATTTTTTCTTTGTTCAATTATTTCTGTTGTGTGTTTTAAAGTTTTTAATGATATTGTTGTTGACATTGGCATTACGGATCGTCTCATATAAGTTTTTACATTTGGATTTATTGTTGTAGCTTTATAACCTACACGTTCAATTGATTGATGCGTAGAATTCATTTCACGCCAACATGAATGTGGGGGTGGATTAATAAGACCAATAGCAACAGTAAAAACAATCCAAGATAAAAGTGCCATTAATAAAATATTCTTAGCTTGTCGAAAACGTGTTGAAACAACACTCCAAAATGGTGCCGAAACGAATTCAACAAATGGCCTTTTAAATAGATGAGAAAAAGTCATTAGACTTTGTTCTATAAATTATGATTAAGAAAACAAGAGAAAGAAAGTTAGATCAGATTGCATTTCCGAGTTCTTTTCGGCCGAAGCGATTTTTCTTTTTTTACGTAAGAAATAACATTTAGTTGAAAGTATCCGGGTTCGTATAACCAATCTCACCAAAATAAGCGGATGCTTCAAGTGCTATTCAGTGTCAAGAGAGATTGAGATGATATAATTACATAAAAAACTATCTACATTTGGCATTTTCTTCTTGTCTAAGTACTTAACTATTCGATAACACTGTGTCTACTCTTTTTTTCCTTTTTGTTTCTTTCTTTTCTTTCATTCGTGATTAAAATCGAACTGCTAAATAAAATAATCCATTTTCATTTACCGAAAGCCCATGAGAATACCACAATATGATGGACCCATACCCATTTGTTTAAAATAGATTGAAAGTAGTGGAAAAAGTGATCCAAATGCAGCAAAATACCAAAAATAAAAAAGTTTTGCATATAATAATGTTCGATCAACATTCGATGGTAATGAATCAATTAAGTTAGGTGCACGTCGTAATATTTGCGGCGGCTTTTGTAACAATGTCGAACCAAATAACTTACGAATACGTGCAGCTGTTGAAGTTCTTTGGTTATCATATTCATAAAGTTCTGTTTGATCAATATCTTCTTGTTGACGGTAAGAATCATGCATATTTTGATAAAAACCACGAGATTCCATTATATTATTTAATTAACGTTTTCTATGTAAATATAGGAAAAACAATTCATATGTAATTAATGATATACTTCATTACGTTCACGCATTGAACTTACTTTTTAATATGATACTAGAGAAGAAAAAAAAGAGAATTAAACTGCATCAGACAACGTAGAAGAGATATGTGTTAAATAAGACTCGCTTGAGAGTTATTCTATTCTTTACAACTACTACTATTGACAATATAGCGACAACGATAGCATGATGTTAATTGTGACTCGTTCAGCATTTGTCGCTTATCCTATACAGGCAAGCACAGTTACCATAGAATGTCTTTCTTTCCTTTTCTTTTCTATATTCAGTTGAACGACAAAAGACGACAGCCTATGGCGGCAATGGAATACGAAGAAAACAAAGAACGTTTGGAAAAAAGAAAACGATGACAACATGCAACAGAGTGTAATGTCGTTTTTCATTATAATACACTGTTAGTAAGCAGACAAGCAAGCAAGAAAATTCGCTCTATACGACGTCGAGTCACCAACGTTTCTCAATTTTTTTTCTTTTTTTTCTGCTTCTTCTTCTTCTTTTATTCTTTTGTACGACAACAATTCAATACTTTGAGAAACAACAAAAAAAAGGGCGGAAGAGAGCAAGATCATGTTAGTAACTTTTCTTGATGACGGATGTCATTCTTTTGTCAACTTAGGAGAGAAATGAGCTAAAAGATCTCTGAACATTCTATTAAAAAAACACTACTTTTATATATTAACAAAAGCAAGTCAAAAGAAACAAGTGATATAGATGAAGCTTGTACAAGACATATATCACTTATATGTAAAGTGATAGATGCCATAGATTTTATGTTGATAGCAAACTAATTTTAACCAATGTTAGTTCTTCTGAAATTGTAACAAAACAAATAACACTTATATATGAGTAAAAGACAGAATGATGACATGATGAACAAACAATTTCTTATCGGATGATGTTCATTAATTGACTGTTCCGAAGAGTTGATGAACAAACTTGAAAGCTTTATTGACTGTCTTATTTGTAGAAAGCACAAACATTAAACGAGAGAAAAAAAATCAATTATTAAATGACAATGTCGCAGTATTGAATTAATATTTTAGCATATGAAACATTTTTTTTTCTCCCTGAGTTAACGATTATTAGATCGGTCAATTATATAACTTGACTTATCGATTCATACTTTCTTAGAAACAAAAGAGCCAATATTTTTCTCTTGTTTCTCAATGCGATAGAACAAAAGTTCAATTAATGATTTTCAAGTATGTGTTTCCTTTTTTTTTTCTATGAATTGAAAATTCACTTAATAAACTTTCAGAATCAACAAACCTTAAAAAATTGTATACAGCTAGGATAGTATAAAAAAAAATATATTTTGATACGGGAAGGAAATAGTCATTCACTTGTATCTGTTAATTCCATTGTTGCTAAACCCTTATTATATCAAATCCTTTCTTTTCTATATTTAAACCTACGTAGAAATTAATTCCCTAGAGGAAAATAATAAATACAAATACTCAATCAACAAGCAAATTCGTTACAGGATATAGGTCATTGTAAATCAAATCAATTTTAAAGATATGTCAAGAACAAGAATACAGATTCTTTAAATATAAAAGATAAAATAATCTTAATGAGATGATAAATTTATAATAGACGGAATAGACCTATTCATAGCTCCGTATAAACGGAAATGAGATCAGGTGTATCCGGTAAAAACTACTAATTTACGATTACCTGTCAAATACATGGTAGCAAAAAATTATCTGGAATAAATACAATAGTTTTTTTTTTATATTATTATTGTGAGTATTAATATTTCAACATGATTCATTCATATTTAAAGGTATATATATACATACAAATTTTTGAACAAAACTTTTAGCTTCTATTAGAGTTAGAAAAAAAATTCCATAGATAATCTCTTGAGAGATTTTTGATTAATAGAGGGAAAAAAACCAGCTGCTTTTGAGACAATTTCTTGATTTATTCATTTGTGAGTAAATCAAATTTTATATTTATGCATGATTAAATGAACGTCAACCTATTATGGATTTGTTATGAAATAAACTAATTAATTTTACTTCAATATTATATATATACTTTCTTGAATGCAATGGTTTTGATTGTAACTTTAGTAAGATTAATAAATAAACGGAAATTTAGAAAGATTAGTTGATTGCTTGTTGAGGAAATTGTTTCAATAAAGGTCTTCCTTGTGTTACTGTAGGGTTATATGAAGACGATAGTAGTGTAAATATAGATGAAATGAGTTTTCTCTTATATCATTAAACATACCACCGGGTACTCTGGTGAATGTAATAAATGCTGAGTACTCACAAGAATAAATGTCACCGAAACTTTTAGACAGAGTATCAGTTTTTAGCACCTCACTATATAATACGTTTAAATATTCAATCGACTAGCTTGTGAAAAGACTTTTCATAGATGAGTATTGAAATTGGGCTAGTACCTAGTAAGTGCTCGTGTGCTAAGACAATTCTTAGCGGGACATCTAAACAAGACTCTGTGACATACTGATAAAAGTACTCCGTTAGCAACTGATTCAATATATTCACTAGAGTCAAATCATAAAACTGCAACTTACTTACGTCTTAATTTCAATAGAATAGACAGATAGAGTATACGATTCTGTACATTTCTGTCTACCTATTTGATTTGCTGTTGTAGCCAAAAAGAAATGTTTGTGGATTGAATAGTCTTAGAGGTTCTATCACCTTTGGACGCTTCAAATAATAACTATGTTGGCCGTAATTTTTCTATTATAAATCAAATATGCAGATTAATAGCATAGATTGATGCAGTTTTTATATTTTACCAAATGACATATCAATTTGTTAGTGCAGAGTTGGACGTCTGACTCTGCATAAAATAGTCGATATGCCATTTTGTAGAGGATGAAAAACTACGTTGATTTGCATTATTACTTTCCATATCTGAATTATAATAGAAAAATTACGGGTACCATAGTTATTATCTAAAACACTCAATGCTCATAGATCCGTTAAAAATCTTTAGTCTACGAACATTTGTTTTTTGAATTGAAGAAAACAAAATGTAAATACATAGTGATGTTCTATATTTCGCGCTTTATCTTTGAAACCTATTGAAAATGAAATATGATGATATGATAAATTTATATGAACTTGTTCAACAATATCCTTTACTTTCTATTATATTAGTAACGAATCTTTATTTGTAATCTTGATTAGAGAACATAATTTTTCTGTAATCTATTTTAAATGGACCTTGTCAAACGCAGAACTTGCATATTTTTATTAACAAGCTTTGTTTTTTTGTTACAGAAAATATGTAGTACAAAGAACAATTCAATCTGTTTTAATTAAGAGGACAGTAAGTGTACTTTTGTTCTGTTAGTAAACTAAATCAATCTCTTATAAAGCTTCGTACTGAATATGTTCCGTCAAAAAATTAAAAATAATTATTAATGAACTCAAACAATCTTTCTGAACAACTTTTTTATATCATGTATGCATATTATATTTATAAATAAAATACTTTTCTTTAAGTTTCCAAAAAACTATAGCCCCTTATGAGAATATTTTTATTCATGTTGAAGTCTGAATCGAATGAAGAATGTTAGAACTTTTGGATAGTTTACGTTCTTTTTTTTTTACAATGATTCCGAAAATACTAATAATTATCTAACATACAGTGAACAGATAATATATGTATTAGTTTAAAATACAAATAATCGAATCGATTCAAATTATGATTGTCTGACAAAGTTGAAACATGGTTATTTAAAAAAATATTTACTTTCATACATAGGGTGTTCCAGAAGTTTGACAGAAAATAAAATTTCAATAAATCTTCAGTACTTGAATCTATTTACATGTTTCTTTCATCATTTGATTTCATACTCATCTAAGTTTTACTAAGCATGTTTCAGATAAAATGACTGTACCTATGAGCATTAGAAAGGAAGAGGAAGAGTATTCTTGCTTTTTGACTACCTTGTGATATGTGGCATTGTCTCGTAGTGCATTCAGTAGCTCAATATTTTTCCTACAACTAATACTAACTGTATTTATAGACAGAAGGTCAACCTGACAGAGCTTTTGTGCTAAATGGCTTGCTTTCTGAGTGCATACTAACTAACCAAAACAGCAGGTGTATCTTACACTGTAGACAACATGCTATCGGACTGGTGATTCGAGACAAACAGCCGTTAATGCGTCGTTCAAAATCATTCTATGTCTGGTAGTACTGATTCTTGCACGTAATACCTTGTGAATACATGTTGAATAACGTAGCCACTCAATCATGGCGGCCTATGAACATTAGAATACAGATTATTCTATTCATGACCAAATTTTAGTCAGTCAACTACGATTGTGAAACGAATGCTGCGGGTCGAATTTTACCAAGAAATATCGAATAAAATGATATGAATAAATTCTCTTTATGTTTTTATAAAACTAATATTGTTGTAGAACGTGCACATTCTGAATGTCTGACAGTAATGAGACAAGAAAAAAATTGCTGAAGTTTATGCCGGTGATAGAAGTAATTATATTGGCATAAAATGAGACTTTTCTGAATATTGATGATAAAACATATTGATTTCTGAGCAATATTTTTCCTACCATAGAGTATTCAAAGAGACGATTGTATAAAATAACTTTCGTGATTATCTTACTTGTCGCTATGCGAATTTGGTTCTGTGGCGTAGTACGGGCAACGATGTCCATTGAAGATCATGTTGAAGTAACAATAGGAAATTGCAATCCTGTATTATATCATACACTTTTTCTAGTCTGTTTTTATTCATACTGTTGTTCAGACAAGGCTTATAGAGAAGTATTCACTAACAAGAAATTTTTATTTGAATATATAGAAAGAAAACAGCGACATATTCGTATGAAAATCAAATCAATAGTTTTGTTTGTGCACTGTACATGTTCATCGTACAACTTTCTTTTTATTATTGCTCTTATTTATGTATTTTAGCAATAATATATACAGATGCTTTTTTATTAGTATTAACATTCATAGATTAGATTACAAAAGATAAACATATTTAAAAAAACTAAAATTGTTTCCTTTTTTCTGTTAGGTTTTCATGTACCTGCTACAATGTTTTCTATATATCTTATTCATCAATTAATAACATATACATAATTACAATTGTCTTCTTGTCTTGTAGCTTTAATGCGATTAAATTGAGCACGTCAAACTTTATCAATGTAACCGCTAATAAAAAAAGACTATAATTACATTACGAACAACACAAGTATTAACAAATAATTATCACATAACATTCAGTATTACGTGCTCAGCATAAAATTTATGAATAACATGTCTTGTTATATTTGATTCACAACTTTTTTTTTTGTTGTGTCAATTATCAACATCAAAAAATAAAAATAAAGTTATAATTAAATCAATTAACTGAACATCATTTATGTTGTCGGCATGTTTTGCTTTTATGGATTTGATGCATTCTTATATCCATATTTATCATTTTACATAATAACGATATGTCCAATATATTTAATTATTTATTCAATACAGCAATGTGTACCAAATTTTTACTACTAACATCATCAAAAATACATTTATAACAGTTAAAATATAACATGTTCAATTAAATTAACATCTGTAGACTATTTCTTATACTTGTCATACCAGTGACATTTCTGGAACGATTTGAATATAGATAGCCACTGCGGCTATCAAGACAGCTGTCCTAATCGTAACCCGATATTTGAACTCATATTACACCCACAAGAAGGTCTCAATAAGATTAGACAAAGTTTCAGAGGGTGTATGCTCATGAACCACTGAAGCCAAATTATGACTGTTTTACTGAATTTTTTACCTATTTTGAGATATTTATTAGAAAATCAAACAATGATATTTCCAACTGATTTTCAGTCCATAGATAGTTCTTACGATCCTTGAAATATTTTTTAGAAGTTTCAATCAAAAAGAATATTTCTTTATCGAAATATTGAATTTCTGACAAACGATCGTTTCCCATAGACATGTCACAATAATCAAGTTTGTGTGGGAATGGACTGAATTTCAGATCGAAATACTATTATTTTATTCTCTAGTAAGTACCTACAAATGGACTGAAAACTCAGTCAAACAATCATAACTCGACAGCAGAAGCCATGGACACGAACCCTTTCAAACTTTTTCTAGTCTTGCCGACATCTCGTTATGAGTTCAAATGGTGAGTTACAAGTCGCATTGTTTTTTCATGAGTGGCTGCATGATTCAACATATGTTTACAAGGTGCTGTGTTCTATCCTTAGTGCTACCAGAAATACGATGACCACGCGCAAGTCACTAATGAATGACTATTTGTTTCGGATCACTTGTCCAATAACATACTGACTATATTGTGATATATCGATGCTGTTATGGTTAATTAGTATGCATGAGGAGCTAAAGCAATGAAACTCAAGAACTTCTCATCAGGCTATTGAATCTGTTGCTAGAAAGTACATCGCACCACGAAGTAGCTAACACGCAGAAGTATTCTTTTTTGTGCCTTCAGTATAGATTAAATCGATAGAAATATTTTCATCATTGTCTTTCTGTTGCCTATCGAAGTATCTATTGTAATCATACAATATTATTTTTTTTAATGATGTTTTCTCGTTACATAGTTTCAACAAACCAATGAAAGAACTTATATGAGCACTGACAATAGAACATATAAGAACCAATACGCATTTCTTATGCTCTTGTTCCAAAACGAGCAAAAGAAAAAAAAAACTTCAAGACATTTATTATTTTTATATATAGCATTAAAAAAAACGAATACAAATTTTCTTTATAATTATGATATTGTGCAATTGCTTCCATTTTTCTAGAAAAGAAAAAGAAAATTTACTTTTTCTATTATATAATTAAGTCTTATGTTTACTTGTGCGTCTGATTTTGTATTATTATTATTATTATTATTATTATTATTATTATTATTATTATTATTATAGTAATTATTGTTATTTTCAGCTAATTTAGCTTTAGTTTGATATGTATCTGTTGATGTACCAGCAATTAAACCATATTGACCATCATGTACTGGACGTAAATTTTGATCACCAAGTGGTTGATCAAACCAACGACGATTAGCAACAACACTTGATTCACGTCCATAATCAGGTGTTGGATTTTGATTACTATATGTTGGTTTTGTACTCTAGTAAATAAAATAGTACAAACAAAAACATCTAATTTTAATTAATTTTATCAAACTTTTTGCATTGACATTGAAACAGTTCTTGTTTTTTCTTGTGAATCAGGTGTACCTACAGATCTATCAGAAGAAAATTTCGCCAATGTAAATTCTGTTGGTTGATATTCCTTATTATTATCACGTAAATGTTGTCTTGACGATTTTACTGTTGGAGGTAATTTTAATACAGGTATAGTATTCGAAGTTCCATTATTTAATGATGAATGTTGTGTATCAATCAATGCTTGACCATCATATAATGAACCTGGTTTTGATAGAATGATTGTCTTTGCTAAAAATGAAAAATCAGCATATATTAAGAATGATTAAATAAAATGTAATGAAAAGTAATTATAAGATTTTGGCTACTGAACGATGTATATGTATATGTAAACTTGTAGAAAAAGACTTCCTCTATGTAATAGTGTATGAATTATCATGTTCTACTGCATAGATTATTTGATAGATGCAGTCTTTCTTTACAAGCCTATATATTTACATAGTTTTGTGGTCAAAATGTTATAGACGCTTGAACGACATACTTTTTCCTCGTTGGTTACGTCCACCACCTTCAAGTGGTTGTAATTTACCATTAGGTGTCATATATAAAACTTCAGCTTTGTGTGGGCTTGGTTCTCGATTATTGATCATCATGGACGAAGGTAGGCTATCATAAGTAAAAGCATTAGTTGTTTCAGGTTTGATCTAGAAATAAAATAAACCACAATGAATATTTAAATATATAGCACAAAAAAAGAAAAGAATATTTTACCAATCTTCCTGATGCTGTTCGATAATAGATTACTTCTTGAATCATATCATAATCAACAGTTGATGGATCATAAGCTAGAGCAAGTTCACTTGATGTTGGCTCTGTGGCATCTACACCAATCGATTTTGTGCGTATTTTGCGAGGTTTTGGACGTGGTTTTGGTGGAGGTGGTGGTGGTGGTGGAAGAGGAGGTGCAGTTGATTGTTGAGGAGGTGGTGGAAGTGTAATTGATTTACGTCTTTCCATTAATTCTTTATGTTGATGATCTTTACAACGGCACCAATCGTAAACAACTTGATTATCTTCAAGACGCATAACTTGATGACGACAATTACATGAGGAATTTTTGGATTGTTCCAATTCCAATGCTAATAATTCCCAATGCTTTAATTTTGATTGATGATGTTCATGAAGATTTTTTTTCTTTGTACCTTTTTTTCGTTTTTTCTTTTTTAATGATTTCAAAAAAATGTCTGGATTTTTATCTACATCGATTGGCTCTTGACGATTAATATATAAGCGTTTTAATTCATCTAAATCTTCAACTATTAAATCACCATTTGTTGATTTTTTTTCTAATTTTAGTTTTGCTTGCTTATTATTATCATAATTTGCATTAGATTCAGCCATTATTTTACCTTTAAATTGTGTTGTTTGATTATCATCATCAGTATGACCTTCATCGTCATCATCATCATCATTGTCATCATCTTCGTCATTATCATCATCTGAACCTAAAGAAAAGAACGATTTACAAAAATTGAATTATAAAATTCAAGATAAATTTAACATAAAAGAAAAAGAATTGTTTATGAAATAAAGAATTTCTTACTATGAGGTAAGTTTACTCGTCTAACAGCGTATGGTTCTATTGTATGATTCGAATTAAATGATGGCGGTACTTTTTTATTTTCTAAGCGATTAACCTAAGTTTTAAATAACGAGTTAATTTAAAAATAAAAGAACAGTTTTTTCAAATTAAATAACATACTTGTTTGATAAGCATATCAGCTAGTGATTCAGGTAAAGCTGTTGGGCCTAAAAATCTTGTTGGTATACCTTTGGTTGGTTCAATTTTAATGCTAGAACGATTGAAATATTGTGTCGTAACTTATTGTGAATAATAATTCGTATCTTACCGTACAAAACTAACTCTATTGTGTGGTTCATCATCTCTTTCATAATCTTTATAATGATTGTCATCATTTTCATTTTGACTTTGACGATGATCATGACTATGATATTGTTCACGTTCATGTTGTAAAGCAGTTATATGATTTTTACATAAATTTAAATGTTTTGGATCATAACAACATGAATGATATTTATGTAATTGAAAATATTTAACATTTTTTATTTCAGGAAAATAACATTGTAATAATTTTCTTGCTTCTTGTTTTGTTAAATTTTTTTTTCGACTTAATTCATCTATTTGTGCACGTGATAATGGTGGTGGATGATGACGCGCTACACGACGTTCTTGTTGCATACCAATCGGTTTAATATAAACATGTGATTGACGACACATAAAACAATCATATTCAGGATCACGTTCAGGTTCTTTTTCAACCGTTATTAATGATGATGATGCACGAGAATTTGCATTTAATGATGATGGCATATTATTAGAAAAATTTCGATAACGAGGTGTTATCTCTGTTGTCTGAATAGAAGATATATATTTAGATTAATTATCATACTTAATTTTATTGCTTTAACTTACTGTCATTGTGTACAATGCGTTGTATGTCTAGAAACGAAATAGTTAACAAAAAAACTAAATGTATGTATATTTTGTAGATTATTGTGTATAGATGCAAAAATAATAAACAGACAATCAACAAACGAAAAGTAACGCCTTAAAGCTTTTAGATGGCATTGGCCATATAGTGAGCGAGCAATTTTCTTGTTTGCTTTTTAGCATTAAAAAAAGAAGTTGTATTTCTTTTACTAACCTTTTGTTTCTTTTTGTTTTGTCATGGTAAAGTAAAGACAAATACGAAAAACTAACAATCGACAATCCTTAAGTGTGGTAGTGTATTTTTTTTTTGAACCATCTACAGTTACCTTGCTAACGTTAAGTTCGATTTTTTAATGATACCTTCAATGATGAAATACATCTTTTTAATTAAAGGATAGATATTTAATAATTAAAAAGCAAATAGAATGATACTTTAAATATAAATGCTTGAGATTGATTTGACTATTGTAAAAGAGATTATGGTGTGGTTCGATAATGATTCAATCCCCTCCCTACACTTGAGAAAAGTTGATCATTGTAAAAAATTTCAATAGTGAGTTCAGGGCATAATTTTTTTTTTATCAAAAACCTATGACTTCATAATCAATTTGACGATGTTTTCTTTTGAACTCTTTCCATTTTTTCCTGGCCGCCCAAAACAAGCTAATCTTTTCAATAGAAATCGATGTTGCCATGGACGTATGACTATAAAATTGAAAATATGTAATTCCATGATGAACATGTTTGTTGATAGACTCATTATTTTTATAAAACCTTCTGAATGCTATTCTCCAACGAAGTCAAATATAACGTTTTAAAATGTTCTAACGATGAATTTTCCGTTTTTTTCTCGGTTTAAAATGTTTTCATTGCGCAATTCAGAATTCTCGAATGTGCTTCATTGAGGTCAGTTAATCTTTTTTTTCTTCCGTTTAGAAAAGCATGTTTACTTTTAGAGTTGGGCAGAGTTCGATTTTGTATTAAGCTTTATTTTAATGTAGACGAAATCATTTTTAGAGTGTTTTGGAGAATGTGCTGAATTGGTTCATCAGTTCTTCAACCAAATAGAAAAATTACTTCTGATGAAGACTCGTATGAAATTCTGAATATCTAAAAAGAATTATTTTAATCTATGTTTAGAGAATACCTCTCGGTAGGTACATTGATAGATGAGCCGCCTCGATAGTTGAGCTTCTCCTAACACTTGAGTCTGACATAAATAATACATTAGAAATTACAAGAAAACACTTTTATTTGAATAAATTCACATTTACATCAAAAGCTGAACAGAACTTTTGCCAAAACTAGCTGTTGTGATTCTTTATCGAGAAGTTCATATTTAACACGTTGCTTTAGTTTTGAGTGTGGATATGAATGTTCGTGTTTTCTTGATGCATACTTATACTCTTGCAGATCAGTATGGAGCTATTAAAGTATTGTTGATTTCTTATGTATTTTTTTCGCTTAAATGATTCAAGCATTTCTGGTCAGAATCCACCATGAGGAAGTCCATACATTTATGAATCTCTCAAGGATTTGAAAAGAGAAATGCATGTGAACTTGATAATCATCGGAGAATAAACAGCTGGACTTGCAGTATTAAAGATAAGTGTGAAATATGAACTTTGCGATAGGCAATTATAACGACTAGTTTTCTTTTAGTATTTCATAACAAAAGATTTGTACTTCAATCCAGCAAAAGTTCTGCTCAATTTTTGAAGTGAATGGAAAATTATTCAAATAATAATATTGTCTTGTTTTTTTTAACCTCTTGATTATGTCAGACTCACATGTCGATAAGTCAACTGTCGGAGCTTATCTGTCATGTCACCTCTCGGCGATATCATGATATAGAGCTGAGAATTTTATACAACTTGAATGCATATGAGCCATAATTGATTTTTTTAGTCGAGAAGGAGCTTAATTAAATAGAAAAGATATTTCCTTCATCTTTTTTTTTAATATAAAAAGACTTATATTTAATTGAGCAATAAAATAATCTAAATGAGCAATAGAATGATTTAAGTGAGCAATAAAGAATTCAAATGAGCAATAATATATTGAATTAGCAATAATAATACTGAATAAGCAATAATAATTCTAAATGAGCAACAATAAATCTGAATGACAAATAATTATTTTGAATGAGCAATAATTTATTTAATTTAAACGTAAATTCTATATAAAAAAAATAAGGGTATGGGTATGGGTGTGAGTGTGGGTGTGGTGTAAGGTGTGGCTGTTGGTTCTGATGTGATGATAGATCAGAAGAACACCCGCATCCGCACCTGCACACAAAATGTAGCAATTGGTACAAAAAGAAAGAGAGGCAGACCATCTAAAGCCAAAAAAGCTTTGGTCACACAATAATTTTTTGTTATTAAAATATAAATTTCTTCTTGCTCAAAAATAAATTTCTTACTGCAATTTAATGAATTAATTATTGTCCATTTCATAATATAAAATTGCTCAAAAAACATTTTTTTTTATTGCTCAACAATTATTGCTAATTCGTATTTTCATTATTGCTCACTTCAACTTTTTAATTGCTCAAATAAATACTAGCCACATAAAAATATCATTTTGGCATTCAATAATTGATATTTGTTGAATATATTAATACAATATGCAGAAAAATTTTGTTCAATTGATTTTCTAAAAAAAGAATAATTTTTGAGATAATTATATCTTCCATATCAGTTTAATTAACTATTCATTCTTATTGTTAATTGTAGCTGTTCCCTTGTAAAATCTTTAAATGATCGTTTGATCTTCATTAAGAATCGAATAATAAATTAAAGAAAAGAATACAATCTGTCAATATTTTTTTCTTTTAAATACAAGTAACGATCGTACGCATCAGTACATAATAAATCTGTGATAAATTATCAAAATTCTTATGGCTACTTTAAAACTTTTCACCACTTTTGCCGACAAATGATGTCATTTTCGTAATGGCGTTGACTTAGAAAATGATTTTGAAAAAACATTAATTTTTTTATGACTAAATATAGAGTTCTACATTGTCAATGACTTAAAGACGTACTCCTTTGTAACAAGTGAAGAAAAACTGAACGAGAAACTAGAGTTCGATAAAGTACATACTGACAAAACTCGCCTTCAAGGCAAAACTTAGATCTTTAACCAAGGTAATCCTCGAACTTGTCAATCATTTTTGAGTCAAGACTATGTACGTCATGTAGATTCAAAGAAGATATGAATGACTTGAAAAGAATCCTTTTCTTTAGCTTATAGTTAAAGATATACTATCATTTATGGCTTTTTTTTAAAACAAATGCTATGGTCCTTCGCAGAAACACCAAAAAACCTGTTTTTTTTTGTAAATTTAGACTGAAAACATTGTACAGAAATCGATCTTAACGTCAATAGGCTTTTGTGAATGTTTTAGGTGTTGAAGGTTGTTTCTATTCTAACATATAACCATGGTAATAGCGTTAAATCACACAAAAAAAAACTAGCAGACCTAATATTCTTTTTTCATAATGGAAGCCAATCGAAAAATTTGAACTTATTCTTCTAAAGCCTGTCTCTATGCAAAATTCAAGTTGACGTTTGAAAATTAGATTTTTAGTGTTGTTGAGGTCGATTACCGCATTCATTTACAAAAAAAAGCAATGTAGTATCTTCATAGCAAAAAGCTGAGAGCACGAACTTTCTTTAGGGTATTCATAACTCATTTCAATCTACATGGTACACACAGCTCGACTCGAAGCCGATCGAACAGTTCGAGAACTTTCCTTGCTACAGATATTCTCATTGAAGTGAGTAAATCCGTCCCCACATTTCTCATCGTGTCTATTTTCGACTTCCCAACGAGGATTTTATCAAGACTGTTGATTCTAATTTAGAGTGAAAACATTCTGCTGGCTATGATTTGAATATAATCTTCTTTCAGTTTTTTTTTAATAGAAAAATTTCATAATTATACTAAAAGTACATTCTAATATAAATTTCTAAGTAGAAACAAAATTATTTATAATTTTAAATTTAAATTTTTTGGTTCACTATTTACATGTTTTTAATTTATCAATTTGTTGAATTTTATTCTGAATTATTTCCAAAACATATTGCTTTCATTGATAAAATTTATTCCATACGCAGTAGAAATTCATAAACATCAAATTGTATCAAGATCTGATTTTATCTCATCAATATCAAATATATAATAATTTCCTACACGAAAATGAACACAAACTTTTAATTATGATTTAATGATTTCTCTTTTCTTAACATTTAATAAATTTCTAGCACGTGAGAATAGACTTTTATCAGCTGAATGTCCCCATAAGCTAACATAATAAGACTTACGAACAAGTTTTTCTTCTTGTCAGACTTCAACACAATGTGCATAATTTTATTGAAATGATTTTGTAGTAACTTATCTTAATCAAAAGGTGATACGTTTGGATGGCACAAGTAAATTTTATTATCTATTTTTATCTGATAACTTATGTCAACTATAACATATTTTATATTTTGTTTTGTTGATGAAATTCTTTATGATCATATTCATAGAATAATATCTGTCTTTATCACATAAGTTCAATTCTAAAGATCGTGATATCACTTGAATGATTAGATAAATCCATTGATGTTAATATTCTTTGAAATCGTTAAATATTGATTCTAATATTTAATATTTAATTCACTGTAAGATAGCGGAAAAAAGTTGAACATCAGTATCTTTTTTTGGATAATGCTTAACAATTAGTTCAATCCAGATAGTGATTTTAATAGTCAATAGAGTTTTCTATCTAATGAATTCTATTCTAGATGAACTACGATGACAAGATTACTAAAAACAAAACTATACACGGTGCTTTTCAGGCCCCCGGAAAACTATTTTTACCAATGCCATTTGAAAGAGAACAAAATGAGAAGTCACTGCATTCCCTACGAGCTTCCCAGAAAAATTTGAAAATATAACAAGATAGATGTTTAGTCGGTTTTTTGATACTTTCAACTTTTTAAGGGACGTAACAGAAAATGTAATAATTTCTCATTTTACTGTCTTTAAAATAGTATTTTTAAATAATATTCTTCTGTGACCTGAAAACTATTGTGTATGGTTTTTTTAATAATCTTGTCGGCATGGTTCATCTAGTATAGAATGCACTAGATAGAAACCTTTATAGACAATTAAAATCATTATCTGAATTAGAATTAATTGCTTAACAAAACAGGAAACTAAGTTGTTGTTAAATTTCTTTTTTTGCTACCTTATATTATAATTATAACATATACTCCATTGATTTTTGATAATATGTGAGAAGTTCTATTTTTGAAAGAAGAAGCAAAGGATAACTTATTTTATATATAATAATAATTTTTTAATCATTTTTAATGGAAGCATTTGTTTCTAATTCTATGAAGTTTGCATTTAAACAATGAATTTTGCTTTAAAATCAAATAATGTACGTATGATTAAAGAATTTATTTTATATATACTTGTATAGATGAATACTAGAGATGTGTGGAATCATGGAGAAAGAGAAGTTATTGAAACGAGGTTTATGAGAAAAATAATAGTTCCAACGGAAATTAAAGAGTATACCCGAAGTATTCTATGGTTTCAAGAGAATTATCTTATAAATCCTATCTATCATAGCATAGTTCAAGAGTAATGATCCGAATAAGTGCTATTTGTCGACTACCTAAACCAAAAGAACGAGTATTGAAAAGTATTTTTTATGAAGTACGAATGAATTCTTGAATAGTTTTCTCGAGATAGGGACTTGGAAAATAACCGAAACCATGAGTACTGCGACCGGAATCAGATGAGATTTATTCGAGATTACACACATCTCTTATTAATACTGAATCTGCTATTACTCATGTAGAAAAAAAGAATTATAATTTTGATAAAGGCGAAGAAAGTAAATGATTTTTAATGCATATCTCTCAGATATTCAAAGGAACTTATTTCAATTTATATACGAATAAACATAGAATGTCTCAAAAGTCACTTTACACTTTGTATATGTTTGTAGATTATTTATCTTATAAATAATTTATAACTCATAAATCGCTGTGTACTATCTATAGGATGTCTTGCGCGTCTCTTTTTGACAGTGAAGAATGGTTTATAAATAATGAACAATGTGAAATAATTTTCAAATACATCAGATGTGTGCAGTGCTAATAGGAAAGTGACTTTTGAGATACCATGACAATATTATCTCGACGATATTTAAAAAATTAAAATCAAATAGTACATCGTTTTATTTTATCAATCATAAAAGCCAAATTCATTTTTATTGCATGAATATGTCATATTATATTTGACAAAAGTAAAATATCTTTGAGTTTATTAAGTTGATTAAGTCTATTAATCCTGCCTTGGATTTATCTTTAACATGACAACATAAGAATAAGAAAGAGATTTTCAATAAAAACTACCTAATTCATCATGAATTATTTCAATGGAAAAATAACTGACTCTCAAAGTATTAAATTCTTATTATTGCTTGTCACATGGATTATGACAATGTGATTATTGTATTCATCATTGATTAAGAGATTTTCTTACAAAAGAAAATGATAAGTAAGTAAAGTATTAAACGGTTCGAAAAAACAAATGTTCTTACAGATTGTACTAATTTTGATTTTTGAAACTAGAAAATATATTAATTCGAAACATCGAAAAATTTATACATGAAAATTCATGTCTATTCGATCAGTTTGTCATGATTTCTCCATTAAATATTCTAACTGAGAGTAATTTATTATTTATTTGTTAAATATTCAACGAATAACATCATATTTCACTATTATTTTGTATTGATCATCAATCAACCTTGTCTGGTAGAAGACCAAGGATGAATCTTCATAATATTTGAAGAAATACTAACAATTTTATTGTATATTTATGCACGATTGACTTGATGTAAATAAAATAAATTAAGGACATGTGTATTTTAGATGATGGCAACAGTTTTTCTAAATAAGTTATATATTTTGAATCGACAAAATAGAGTAAAGTCTGTAGATTATAATTGAAATTACAAAAAAAAGAGTTAAATAATTGTTATATGATGGAACATTAAAGCATAGAGTGACTGTTTCAATAAATGCATTAATCTGTTTCACTACACTGGTTTTTTTCATAGTACTATTTGCATAAAAGAGACGGAAATGAAAGGTAGTTTGGTTCAATGATACATAGAGAGAAATGTTATAAAACACTTGAGTTGAGGAAAAAATAATGTATCATGCGTTTATATTAAACCGTCGTCTACTTGTATTATAGATGTTGAGATGGGTGACTAGAAGTAGAATATGATCATCGTTAGTAATAATGAGTCGTTGCAAAGCTCTACAGAACGTTACGATTTTTTCTATGGTATAGATAAAGTCCAAAAAAAGAAATATTCTTGTTTTTCTTCTTTTTTTTCTCTTTCTAGATTTCTTCTTTTCATCATTTCTTCAAAAAAAAAAGCATTCCAACAATAACTAAGCACAATCGTGTTAGTTGGAGCACCATTCTTCATTTTGATATTCTTTATCACTACAATGAATTCGAAAGAAATTTCTCGTTTATGTATGTTACTTTTTTTTATTAATACATACAATTCAATCATTAAAAATATTTTTCAATTTATTTCTTTTATTTAGCAACAATATGCATATGTATTTCATTTTTGTTTTTCCTTTTTCGATGCACGTCTAGTCAGCCTTTATCGACAAGTTTATTGAAATCTATCAATAATAATAATAATAACAATAATGATAATATGTTTGCTGATTTCAGTCGAATGAGACCATTACCATACTCGAATTCAGATGAATCGAAATTTGAAGAGAATGATTCTGAAGTATGGACACAATTATTGAATAAACTTTTAGAAATATACAACGAACATGATCAAAATAGTCGACCAAGTACATCATCACCCGTTCGTCGAGCAAACTTTTGGAAACGATCTAATTTTTGGCGTAAACGCGCCAATTTTTGGTGACGCAATTTAGTTTCATAAAACAAGAGAAAACCTAATGAAAAAATTTGATGTAAAATTTTAAAAACAATAAATAAAAATAAACATTACAGTTTACTTTTACATTTCAAACTACCGAATAACAAGCTTTTAAAAAAATACTTCAAAGTTTTATTTTTTACATTTATAATAATGATTCATTCACATCGAAAAAGTATTAGAAAATATCGAGATAATTAAAAATAATGGACTTCAAGATGAAAAAAATTTATTTAAAACTCATCACATGCATGATACATGTTATTGTTGGAGAAAATTTTTTATTGCATAGTGACAGTAATAGCAAACGAGAAAATGTTACTTTCATGATGGAAATAACGATTAAAACATATAATACTATTTTTATCTTTATTGCATAGACAAAAGAGGAAAGACTAATTGAAAACTTTAAGTATTAGAATTATGTCAACTAGAAAGTGATAAAACTTTTATTAATTTACTTAAGGATACCATAGCATGCAATTTAATAAATAAATATTACTATTGTGTTCGAATGTAATTTCGGTAGAGACTATCAAAAATAATGATAGAGATAGAGATTTGTCATATCTTGATTATAAAAGTAATCTAGATGCAAAAAAAATATTTGAATGAACATGTTGTAAAAAAAAAAGAGTATTTTGTGTTTAATTTTACAAGTAATATTTTGTTCTTTTTTGTATGTTTATCAAGAACAACAGTAACCTTTTTTTTCCAGTTCATATTAATCCTTTAAAGATAGAGAAAACATGCACATTTCTATTTTAACAACTTTTACTCGCATCATTACTAATTAATTCGTTGATATTTTTAAACAGATTAATTTCTATTCACAACCAATCAGATTTTAAATTTTAATACATAATAATGATCAAGTTGAACTAAAGAAAAAGTATCAAAATAATCGTGTATTTTGTCTTTCAGTTTGGTGTTTTTTTTCCAAAGAAACGCGTATGATTTATAAATAGAACATGTTACTTGTTTTAGCCTTTTATAGAAAGAAATTAATAGACATGATATGCATCAAAAAGACCATTTTCGAAAACTATTCAATCAGTTCAGACCATGTCGAGTATTTAAGGAATGTTCTAAACATTTCTTAAATAATGTGGACTTTTATGAAAGCATCGTAAGTTTGGGATTCGGGTTTTAACGAACATCGTCGATTTTCGTCTCCGATGCATTTATCTCGTGGGTTTTTAGATCATTTATTTTGTTGTATGTTGACCTATCATAGTTGGTCTTACTTCTAATCCAAATTTCATAAATGAATTCTTCATGGACTTGAAAAATCAAAAATACAATTTATGAGATTCATAAATTTCATATCACCAAAAACAAATGGCATTTTGAATGATGAAACAGACATAAACAGCGATGAATTTCAAATTTATTGATTAAAAAGGAACATTTTAGTGAAAAAAATGGAATGTGAATTTGTTTTTTAATCAAAATCATGAAATAAAATTGATGAAAGTGTCCGTTTTAGACATTATATTTGAAATACATCATGACTTATCTTCGTTTCATCATGTGAGTGCACTTTTTTTCGATTGTTTAGGTTTTTGGGTCAACCCCCGCGAACGATTCGAAATCAGGCGCATGCCTACTTAATAATGATGTTTATTAAGCTACTTTATATTGTTAGAAATGCGACTATCTAACAATCAATACAAGTTTATATAGGACATAGATGAACACGAGAAAATACTAAACAGAAAATTCGAAGGAAAGAGAAGAAAAAAAGAAGTCAGAGTATCAAGTAGTAAGTGATATAAATGTCAGAACAGCATGATATACAGAAAGGCTTTGTAATATGTTGATACAAATCATTTGTAAAAATATCATTATGTTTTGATGAAATTTTTATTAAAAACAAATCTTCAAAATTCACAACTTTCAAACAGTTGCTTTTTTTTGTGTGCTCAATATTTTAGGAATAGATTGTCCATCTGATTTAACTGAAATTTCTTTGAGAACCTACATATATATGGACAGGATTGTCACCTCTTCTGCTTCGTGATAGACGAACTTTTTGTTCATATTTCAAAATTCGGTACAGAAGAAAACCTGTTTTTATTAAATAAATCAAGGTCACTGACTTGCACAGTATTCTATCATTCTTTTTGATTGATCTGCTAACTCAGTATACCAACATTAACAGTTTATCTATTGAACTGATGCTCTCATCTCAGTTCCTATGCGTGCAGTAAAAACACTACTCTGTTTTCAACTGATAGTTAACTATGTTTATTCGCTTATTTTGCGTGTCTGATTTACAGAGAAAAATCTCAAATGCAAAGATCTAAACAATCTTTTTTGTGATCAATTGATAGTGAGATAGTAAACGAACAGGAAAATAATTATGAAAAGATTATGACAAAAAAAAAATAATGCGACAATCAAGTGGAAACAAAAACGTGAAAGCCACAACAGATAGTTTTGAAAAGAAAAAGAAAAAAAAAGCTGTAGGTGTCGCTATGAATGTGTATGTGTAGATCTTCTCTTCAGGGATATCTTACCCGCACCAACATTCACACCCATAGCCACCCATAACATACACGCACTTCTACACCCACATCAACACCCCAATATAAATTTCCGCTTCTTTTTTCTCTGTTTTTAGACAAAGTTTCCGCTTTTCAGGTTTTATGAGGTGGCAACTAGATATCGACGTGACTAATATTTTTTGGTCACGATCATGTTACGGTCACGCTCAGTTTAGTCACGGTTATTCTAGTCACGTCAGTCTCTATTGGAACGGCTATTTTCTTTTTGCTAAAATAGCATACCATTTTCTCCCAGTACGAGACCCCTATATTAGAAGACTTTCCATAATAGAAGACACCTTTGGAGAAAATATGTGTGATACTCCATATAAGACCTCATTCAATTAATTCATTTTTCGAAAAATGACAACTTCAATTATTAGATTTACACCATAATATGTCTAGTTTTCAGAATTTTGAGCTGAAAACCACAACTTCGTGTTTTCAACTTTTTATCTAGACTTTTAAAATCCTAAAAATTCTTTCTCAACGCGTCAAAATCGCTTTGCTTTTCTGAAGAACCTTTTTAGTTAAAAAACTGTAAAAACAAATGGGACACAATAGAAGACTCTCTGGAAAGCTTTTGCAGGTGGACACAATAGAAAACCTTGGGTCTTCTAGTGCAGATGGGCCAGAGGTAATATAACAGATAAACGAATAAGACTACGTATGAAAAAAATTGATCAATATGTTTTTAAGAAAAAATCTTGAAGTTCTTGAAACTTTATTTGGTCAAAGCCTGAATGGAAATGAGTGAAAGCAGAACAAATGAGAAAATGATCAATCATCAAGTAAGTCATCTGATAAAAATCGAAAAAAATATGAAAATGACATTATTCTTGTTCAAGAAGACGATAATAGTTTTTAATGGTACATTTTTTCTAAAGTATTTCTATGCGAACTGTTCAAAATATATTAATACTGAGTCATATTTTTTCCGGTATTGTGATTGTATTGATTTTATTTATTCGTTTTGAGTTAGCACAATTAGAAAAGGATGCTGATACATATTGAAAGAGTGCTAAATATGATATTCGATTCTGTACTGAAGTTTGAAAATAACTGCCATGTAGCTACATTGAAAATTTATCGTGACGTGATCGTGACCAGGTTTCGGTCACGGTCATGATCGTTACTCACGGCAGTCAGGACGATCACGCCAATGTTTAGTGGCAACCCTGCCTATGAATGCTATTTACGATGTAACTACAGGTCATTCTATTTATTTTGAAACAATTCCGATCGAGTTTTTCTTCGTCAGTGATTCATTAAGATCCAATGGTTTTCATATCAGTCTATGTTACACACATTACAGATGTTGTTATAACATTATTGACTTAGATAAATAGATGTCTGGTAATAAAACTTCGAATAACATTGAAGGATGTGTAATATGTCGTTTGATAGAATAATATTCGTACTTAGTGAAACACGAACAGTTATGTGAAATATGTTTGTATATGTGAACAAGAACCATCAGACATGTCTCTAAAAATGCTGAAAAGTAGCCTCAGTCATGTTTGAAAGTATGTCCGGTCGGTCTTCAGATCATTTTGTCGATCATAACGCGTAATCGATGTCAGACGCTTGGACCACTAATATCGTTTCTTTTACAATGATAGATAAATATCAACGATCTACTAAGTTTTTTTTTCACGTTCCTTAGCATGATTTATGCAAAAGAATAAGACAAATAGCTGTACTAATACTAATACGATGTCTTGTAATGATGAACTAAATAGCAGAAAAATATTCTCAGTCTATATGTTATATATTACTGCCAACCAATTATAAATGCTATCACATCACATGGACGATAAAATTTTGAATTTTCATGGTATAATGAAGCTGTATAGAGCCATTTTTCAACCTTGGCAGAGATATGCCTGATGATTCTTGTTCGTATATACAAACATATTTCACATAACTGTTCGTGTTTCACTAAGTATAATCACTGACGAAGAAAAGTTTGATTGAAATCGTTTCAAAATAAATGAAATGACTTGTACTACTCATTTCGTCTGTTCATAAGCTAAATTTTAGATCGAAATGTTGGTATTTTGATTTCTCGGCAAATATCTAAAGCTGAATTGAAGATTTAATAAGACGATCATAAGCTGGGTCGAGAGGTTCTTAGGCACGAACCTTTTAAAGATTGTTCGAGTCTTACTGAGACCTCCTTATGAACTCAATATTGAGCTCTAACAGCCGGTATCAGTTCCGGTAGATTCGTTTCTAAAATTGGATTTTGGATCAAAATTGTAATGTTGAAATAGAGTTTTCGCTCGAGAAATGCAATCGGTTAGATGCTGATATTAAGAAGTTGGAAGTAGGACTATGACAGCTTCAGCTCTCAAGAACTGATCAATAGTTTATATGATCTGATCAATCAGTTCCAGTCCCTGTGAGCTGAGCTGATTGACCTGTTCTAGTTCT